TTCTTTACGCTTCGGCAGTTAAATAGTTAAATAACGTTGGTTGATACATGGCTTCAGAGACCTTGTTTTAGGAATTCGGTATCAAGGTCACAGATATAAAATTTTCTATTCTTTACTTTTTTTTACCTACGGGTCATATTAATAATACGGGTTACAACAAAAAAAAATCCATAACACTTTATAATTTAAATAATGTCATTGTTGAGAAGGCATTTTCAATAACACTTGAGATGTGTCAAATGTTTTTTGAATGTTTCTTGAACAATTCGAATTGAAAATGGTGGCTTTTATATTGACAGTATCAAATGCATTTGCTGTTTGATTTATTAATAAAATAATCATTTATATCTCATTAATCATTTTCTTCAATTTTGTGGTTCATAAGTAATAATCCATTAATTTACACCACACACACACACACACACACATATATATATATATATATATATATATATATATATATATATATATATATCGTAAATCAATGTAATTTGCATCATCTCTCATTCTGTATATATGTTTGCATGTATCTTTCTCTCCTCTCTCTCTCTCTCTCTTTCTATATATATATATATATATATATATATATATATATATAAATGAAATAACTATCCCATTTATATATATATAATATATGACTACTATATATATATATATATATATATATATATATATATATATATATATAAGAAGGTTATTGAAAAAGACCCCGACGAGACCAAAGGGGATCAAAAGTGTTGTGACATTTATTTATTTATTTTGTCATGATAGGAAACGCATATATATATATATATATATATATATATATATATATATATATATATACACACACATATATATATATATATATATATATATATATATATATATATATATATATATATATATATATATATATATTCTGTAAGTAAAACATACACCCATAGTGTAAAATATTTCTTTCTGTATCCTTACACTTAATACACACACATACTCACACAATTTTATATATATATATATATATATATATATATATATATATATATATATATATATAATCACAAGGAAGGTGCAATCGTCTTCATTAAGGAGGTATTCCTCCCCGGAGAATCTATTAAATAACGAAATTATCGCTTCTTGAATCGCGTGATTTGTCCAAGTAAATTAAATCTGCGGAGAAAGCTAATCATGTATCCAAATTTTAGATACTACCAATTCGAGATCGATACAAATCGCAGTTTCTTCGATCGACGTCATTGACACGTGACACACAAACACACATACTTTCTCTCTTTCACACTCTCACTCTCACTCTCACTTTCTCTCTCCTTCTCACTTTCTATCACTATCTCTTTATCTCCCCCGCCGCTCTTGCTCTCTCTCTCTCTCTCTGCCTATCTCTCTCTCTCCTCTCTCTCTCTCTCTCTCTCTCTCTCTCTCTCTCTCTCTCTACTGAGTACTCCAGTCGTTCTTGTCCATTTAAGCGACAACGGGAGACTCGTTATCGTTAATTGTATAAGCACCAGTCGACACTACGTCGGCCCTGAGATAATGTAATCGCCTTCGCGTAGTAGTGGCTTAAGGCCTACTTTTATTGTACTTTTCAAGCTTTTAAAATTTACTCCAACAAAATATCTTCAAGATGGTCGTCTAAGAAAAGAAAAAAATGCCTCATATTCATTGTGATAAAATTACTTTTTCGTTTCGGTTCAAGTTCCACAAACATGTATCTGTCATTGCAGGCGCAATGTTCTCCAAATTATCCTGAATCATTAACTTTATCTTAAACAAGGCCACTAGGACGCAAGGAGTTACAGGGTGTGAAAGTGAATGAGAATAAAATTTCTTTTTCTTTTTCTTTTCTTTCAGCATTGTTCTTATTTGAGACACATGTTTCTCGTAATTTGATAAAGCATGATTACTGATGGCTCTGCAATAGGGTATTAAATAAGTGTAAAGTTTCTATCCCCCACTTCTTCAATCGATTTGGTGTTATCAGCCTCTGCTGATAAAGGTGAATATATTGCCCGTAAATTCTCCACACTTTCTACTCCTGGATCATCTGGAGTATCCCTGCTTAACTTTCCACCTAGAACTGAACATTTCTTGAGTGATATGCATATAACACATTCCATCGTTTCTGAAATCATCTCTAACTCTGATCTTCTTAAAACATGTGGACCCGAAAGTATCTCTGTAACAGTGTGCTTCCGAACTGGTTCACGTTCTCTCTAAACTGTTTAATATTAGGTTGGTGCAAAAATAATGACGTAATAATGTCGTTTTTTGACGTTAAAAAATACGTCAAAAAACGACATTATTACGTCATTATTTTTTCACCAACCTAATAAATACCTCGCTGCCTTTTGCTTTTCTGTCTGGTGGAAGTCATCGTCTGTTGTTCCAGATTTTAGTGGCTTTACTGCATTGCTTGGGGTGATGTCGTTTTAAAAAAGCCTTTAAAAAAATGTCAGTGTGCATTATATTTTATTTCCCTGCATTTCAGAGTTCAAATTTAAGAGTGAGCTGTATGCAAAATGTGTGTTATATACTAATAATTACGTTAATAAGATAAAATAATCAAATAACGAATAAACTCCGGCCTCAAAAGCCGAAACAACTCGCTCGCTTGACGAATCCACTTTTGACCTGTAATCGTTTGTGAACTGATTAATCGATCGACTCTTATAGACTGATGTCTTACATTTTGGTGCTCGGAGTCAGCCTAAAGTGAAAATTAATCTATCTGCTTATCCGAATGATCGGTCTTCTATATATCGTGTCAGTTAAATAAACTGGCGATCATGACTTTCCAAATTTTCTTGTCTTTTGTAGCTCTCAATAAACGTTGTCTTTTCGCCATCTTTCCTAAATCCTGCCCCATCACCCATGGTTATGCACTGTTTTCGTTTGTCCCTCTTCTGTCCAGTTAGTATGAATTTTTTCCAAGTCCTTTTTCCTCTTTACGGGCCCCTAGAAATGTTAACTATCCCTTCCTCATATAAGTGTCCTTTCTTGTTACCATTATCTCTAGAACTTGATCATTGCTCCCAATTTCGAGTCATGGTATTCTCAGCATCCTCCTGTAGAACCATATTTCCTTATGATACAATAAATCTATTTACCCTTTAATGCTACAACAGTCGTCACTTGTGACAGTTGAGAAATTGAAAAGATCTCAAATTAGAAAAAAAGATTCTCCTGTGATTTCGTTATTTCAGGGATCTTATGTTGGATATGTGTGTGTGTATGTGTGTGTGTGTGTGTGTGTGTGTCTGTGTGTGTGTGTGTGTGTGTGTGTGTGTGTGTGTGTGTGTGTGTGTGTGTGTGTGTGTGTGTGTGTGCCCATATTTAAGGTAAGAATGAATGCAGAAATATTTTAGAATATGGATATATTTTTTCCATACATAGATAACTATATACGCGCATGCTTTTGAATATTACGTGTTTAAGGAGCTGGTTAACCCATACGATGGCGTACGAAAAAAACACACACCTGCTGCGCATGCATATTCTTGTTTTTTATCTGACTACCACGTTGCAAGAAAACTTTATCGATTTGGATATAATCTCTTGGCGTGGTGTTATTGCTTATAACTACTGCTCTGTCTATTTGCTATAGGCATTGAGTACTTTTGTGTTATTTCTAAGTAGATGTCTGATATTTTGTATTTCTTATCTTCTTTTTTATTAAGTGGTTCTTGGTTTGTCGTTTCAACTTTATTCCATGTTGTTTTAAAGCTGCTTTTGCAAGCTTAACCAATACATTCATATATATATATATATATATATATATATATATATATATATATATATAATGCAATGTTACATTACAACATGCATATACCCACTACAAAACTGTACATCTTGTTTCAACGTTAATTTTTTTTTTTAACATCGATATCTCCCCACCTGCTAAAACATTAAAAAAGATTTTTAAGTTTGAAACAAGATGTACAGTTTACAGGTGGGTATATGCATGTTCTAATGTAACACTGCATAATAAACAAATATTTATTGCGCTACTTTTAAATTTATGATTGAAGGCTGAAATCTTACTCTTTTCATTTTTTTCACACACACATTTAACAAACACACATATATATATATATATATATATATATATATATATATATATATATATATATATCTATAATCACTTCCTTTTCAGAAGACCATCTCCACAACAAATTTCTTTTGTTTTGAGGTTTTTTTTTTTTTTGTTATATAACTTTCAGACTCACTGATCATGAGATCACAGATGACGTTTTAAACCAGCCTTACTTTGACAAGATTCTACGCAAATGCTGCATCTGAAAGGGAGATCCGTAGCCCAACAGGCACGGCATCAACATGAACTTCCATGTGTCTTGTTAATCCAGAATATATATATATATATATATATATATATATATATAATATATAAATGAAAAAATAAATTGAGATTAAATAGACGTTTGTTTCTATAAAAATAACGTATAAACAGAAAATATATTAGAATAATTGTCGTTAAAGTCTATTTCATAATATATATATATATATATATATATATATATATATATAAATATTTCTGAGAGAGAGAAGAGAGAGAGACATATATAGAGAGACATAATATATATATATATCAAGTCAGTTGATACATATATATATAGAGATACATATATATATATATTTTTAGAGAGAGAGAGAATATATATATATATATATATAGATTTCTATAGATACATATATATAGAGATATAGATACATATATATATATATATAGTCAGATAGATATATATATAGAGAGAGATACATATATATATATATATATATAGAGAGAGAGAGAGATAGAGATGAGATAGAGAGAGATCTATATATATATATAGAGAGAGAGATAGAGAGAGATACATATATATGGAGAGATACATGTATATATTTCCTAGAGATAGAAGATACATATATAGAGAGATACATATAGAGAGATAGAGATAGAGATATCCTAGAGAGAGAAGAGAGAGATACATATTTTAAAGAGAGATTTAGATACATATATATTGAGAGATGCAGATAGATAGATAGATAGATAGATAGATAGATAAATAGATAGATAGATAGATAGATAGATCAAGCCGAAAATTGAGTACTACTTTCATAAATGGGTCGAAGCTTCTCAATTTTGACTTTCTCGTCTCAACAGATGCCCAAAATGCCTCCGCGCTTTTGTGTCTGATGACTTATTTTACGGCTTACAACCTCTTTTCCGCAGGCGAAACGCTACAGGCATCTTGCAAACCCTATCGCTATTTCCATAGAAAGTGCTCAGACGAACTACATTCCTTAGTTCCACCATTCACGCCTAAAACACGTCATACGACGGACATTATGGCTAACTGCACTCATTCTCTTCGTATTCCATTGATGAGATGTAACTTCTCGAGAAGATTCTTCCCACAAAGACATTATTGTAACCCGTTTAACTTTATGGTTTACCCCACATATTCCCATGACCTCTACCTCTTAATCTATCACCCACTAACTTGAGTGTCTCTAGCGACTTGGACATTGTAAATATATAAATATATATTCTCTAGTTTCAACAGTTCAGATCTTTACGTCTAAGACCAGCCATACGATATACACGGGTGTGATGTGTCTTTGTATTCTAATTGTAATTCTAAGAAAATAAATCAAGCGTAATCTATCGTACCTATTCTCATAACCTTCATTCCGTTGTTCATCCTAACTCTATACAATGACATCATTCAGTAACGTTCTACTATGAGTGGCTCTTGGGCTGTGTATTAAGGAAACCTTTAGTAAAAAGAATCAGCGTTCAAGTGAACTAATTTGAAACACACGAAGCTAACCGTTCTACCATTCAGCAGGCCAGTGAATTATTTAATCAGTTCGCGCCACGACCAGTAATTTGAGTCAAACTTTCAGCTAGTGGGAGACAACATTCCATACGCACCCTCTGAAAAATACTGTGCCTCTGAGTTTGAACTGAGAAATCATATGAAGACTCATTAGCGACAACGAATATGGCTAGATCAATTCAAGTAGGGGAGACATTACTTTCGATAACGACAGACAGTTTGAATGGAACAGATACTTAATACATTTTAGGTGATATGGTAACGAGTCTCAAGCAATCTGATATATAAGACAGATTCGCTAATCGCGCCTTGGCTGTCGATAGCAGACAATTCTAATATGTAAATCTCCGAAGTGGTTGATTTGCAGGGTCAACGTTATTTCCATGTATTTAAGTCAATTGTCGACCTAAAAGTTGGAGGCATGTCCTTAACTCAATGTCATAAAATATTTTTATGTGTTCACTTTAAATAAATCAAACTTACATATTTGTATTATGACAGAAAGGGAATAATGTTCTGTAATCTGAAAACGAAAGTTACAAACGGGAACGTTTCAGTAAGTTGCCAATGCATACAAGAAAATTAGGTACATTACAAGAAAATTAATTACATTACATCGATAATATACGAAAAGTAAGATGTGTTGAAAAAAATAAACCATGCTCACACTATTTGTTATATTAGGTTGGTGCAAAAATAATGACGTAATAATGTCGTTTTTGACGTTAAAAAATACGTCAAAAACGACATTATTACGTCATTATTTTTGCACCAACCTAATATATCCAGAACGTTTCGACTGTTGCACTCTCCGGCCTTTTCCAGCTGACTATTGTATTTTTGTCTAAATTTTTTAAATGAACTATTATTATTATTATTATTATTATTATTATTATTATTATTTTCTTTGATTTCTGGCGTTTACACATTTCTTACCGGGTCCCGCCCAGGGACCTAAGGTTAGAAATGGCATCATGACACTTTCCACTGATAAAAAAAAAAATTAAATTTAAGATAAATAAAGCCCTTCGTAAAGTGTGGGCTGTACTTGTCAGAACAATTTTTGTATCTCCTTGAGGCATGGAATTCCAGGAATCCCTTCAATTAGTCTACTGCAATCTTTTCCAACCAGTCCTAGGGCTCCAACTACAACAGGGATTGTTGATGTTCCCATATGCCACATTTTCGAGATTTCTATTTCAAGGCCCTTGTATTTTAACAGCTTTTTGAATATCTTCAAAGATACATTGCAGTCAGCAGGACTGCCATATCAACAAGGAGGCACCGTTTTTATTTGTGGTCTTTAATAACAATTTATTATTATTATTATTATTATTATTATTATTATTATTATTATTATTATTTTTATTTTTATATTTCCTTTGATTTCTAGTATGTACTCATTTCTTTCCGGGTCCCGCCCTAAGAGCTAAGGTTAGAAATGCATCATGACATTTTCCACTGGCAAAAAACAAAAAAAACATATTTTACATAGATAAAGCCTTTCGTAAGATGTTGGTTGTACTCGTGAGAATAATTTTTTGTATTTTTTTTTAAGGCATGGGTTTCCAGGAATCTCTTCAATGAGTCTACTAGAATCTTTTCCAGCCAATCCGAGGTCTCCAACTACAGCAAGGATTGTTGATGCTCCCATTATTATTATTATTATTATTATTATTATTATTATTATTATTATTATATACTTTGATATTCGGACCAGCATATGCATCCTTCCTCTTATACTCTCAACAATTTTGCTGATGCTCTCTAACTGTAGCATTTTTATCTAAGTTTTTGAGATGAAGAATTATCATTATCATCTTCTTTGCTATTTGATTCAGATGCGCATCTTCCTTTTTTTATACACAAAGTTTCGGGCGGTGTACTGTCAGGCCATTTGCAGCTGTTGGATATTTTTTCCTGAGATTTGGAAATTAATTATCATTATTACATACTTTGCTATTCAAACCTGTATACATACCTTACTTTTTATTCTCATAACGTTTCGGTCGATATACACTTCGGTGTTCTTCAGTTGATTGCTGCATTTTTGTTTGAATTCTTTTTTTTGGCGGGGGACTATTATCATTATCATATGCTTTGCTTTTGGAAACCATCATGTTCATCATACTTGTTATATTCACAATGTTTCGGCTGTTGTACGACTCGTCCTTCTTCAGGTGACTGTATTTTCATTTTCTCTGAATCTTTATAATGATAATTTTCTAATCTTAAAAGTGACGCACGGCCGAATGTATGGGGCACCAGGTGATGATCGAACTCACTATTCAGTCGTAATTCATCTAACGAGACAAGCTTATTAACCATCACACCACGTCGAAGTGTCCTATGACGTGATTTAATGATGAATTATCATTATAATATGCTTTGCTATTACAACCAGCATGTTCATCTTGATTGTTATACGCACAACGTGTGGGCTGTTTGTACCATCCAGTCTTTTTCATTTGCTGTTTTCGTACTTTGTAACCTGCTTGGAATTTCAAACTAAGAACGCAAACATATGACGAAGCCTAGAGGATGCACCTGTCGAAACGTTGTGAGTATAAAAAGCAAGATGTCCATGCTATAGAAAAGCATATAATAATGACGATTACTCCTTTACAAAATTCAGAAAAAAATACAATAATCACCCGAAAAATCCAGTTAGTGCATCGAGCGAATCTTTGTAAATATGAGTGTGCTCATCCAAATATTAAAGCATATGATAATGATAATTCTTTGAAAAATCCCGATAAAAATTTAACAAAATAATCAGCAGTATTTTGATATTTCTAAATTTTTTGTGTCAATGTTTCATTTCGGGATTTATCAATCATTTTTTTTTGTTTCTTTTTGTTATTGGTGTTTAGATTTAACGTTTCACAATATTTTCATTGTCAAAAGATATTTTCTTCTAAATCAGAACTGTATGCAATAATTTCAATATTTTTCAATTCGTAAGAATAGATTTCTTAATTTATTTATTTAATTATTTATGTATTTATTTTTTATTTTTATTTAATTTTTTTTGTTTTGTTTTTGTGATCAATAGACTCAATTATCTTCATCCAGAAAGTAAGTAAAATCTATATATTTTCTACTGTACTTGTCCTTGATTAATACAAAACGTTTTTCCCTCGAAGACAAGACTGGAAATTAATAAAAGTTTATGGTGTTTCTAAGACCACCGTCCTGGATATGACAATAAACTACATCCGACATCACGGCCTCTGATCGTGAGATTGAAGGTTTTGAGAAGCATAGAACTACTACTTAATTGCTCTTGTTCCCAGGTACACCTTGATTCGGCACTTCTCAGAGTACCAGCTATGGGCAAATAGTGATACCCCACACCCAACAAAAATCAACAGTACATTTTTTATAATAAAATGTGCAACGATACTTTTACAATAAATGCAACACCCACAAAAAAAATATAAAAATAGATTTTTTATAGTAAAATTACCAACAATACATGTTATGATCTACAAACTATATATATATATATATATATATATATATATATATATATATATATATATATATGTGTGTGTGTGTGAAGAAATATAGTCTTATGGTGTGATATATTTATGGGATAAAATTGCTCGATATCAGAGATAGAGGCGTGTGTAAATATAAAAGTGAACATAAAGTCAAAATAGAGGCGACAGTCTGTTTCATGTTATATGCAATCGTCAGATATATTTTTACACACATATATATATATATATATATATATATATCTGATATATATATATATATATATATATATATAACGTATATATATATGATATATATATATGATATATATATACATATATATATACATATATATATATATATGATATATATATATATATATATATATATATATATATATATATATATATATATATATATATATGATATATATATATCATAAACATAAATATAAACATAAGTTTACCTAAAAGTATCAAATTATGTATAAAATATCTGTAAATGAAATCATAAAATTAAATACATAATATATTAATTAATATTCTAATTGTATTTATATCAACACAAGCGGAGTTTTCACGAGAAAAATATTAATGAAACAAATATATTTTACAAATATATAATTTGAATTTATTACATATAATTTTAGTGAAACAAATACTAATATTAAACGTGATGAAATTAATATAATGAATATTATCAATGATAACATTTTTAATCTGCATAATAGCCGTTTAAATAATGGCAATGGGTATATGAAAGGTACTCTAAAGTGTAAGCTAATAGGAGTTGCCAGGTAGCTAATTTCGGTTGGCTATTGCGAATTTTAAAATTACATGTATATATAAGACACAGGAGAATGTTAAAAGATATTTTTAGTAAAAAAAAAAAGTGCGCTTTATATTCCGTCAAATACGATAATCATTTCACCCCAAACCAGTTGATAAGACGTAAGGCGTTACTGAGAGTGAAAGAGAATGAGTAGACGTTAGTGACGAGAAAGTACAATAAAAGAACAGTTTTCTGGACGACAGAAAACAGCAAAATTTTTAAGAGGTCGTAAAATGTCAGGGAAGCAAGAAACCGGAAGAGGACTCCACAGGTGAGAAGTGCGAGAAAATAAACTATTAGAATAGAACTTCCGGTTTTAATAACAAAACGATGAGACCTAGCTGCCAATCAATTAGCCTGCTTAAATTTGTCGGGTTAAAACTCATTAGAACAATTGCCAAGAAAATATTTTATTAAGGAACAGAGGGGAATCCCATCATGGTGGAAATTGACTGAAGTCGAGATGTCAGATCAGGAATGATAAGATTACTAATCCTTCTTTGGTTTCTCTCGAGAATCTTGAAATATAGAGCAATAACTCCAGACCAGACAGGGTAGCAATATTCAATGTACGACCAAATGGTAGATTTATAAATGTGCAAGATGAATTCTGAAGAGACAAATTTTGAATCAACTTTCCTATCAGCAGATCTAGCTATCTGATTTTGGAAAATGGGTCTGATAGGTTTTTCATCATCGTTGTATATATATGAAAGACTCTAAATAATTCAAAGTTATTTATATGACCAAAACCTTTTTTTTTTCTTTATATTGTCATAATGTTTTGAAAATCTAATAACCTGGGCTCTTAAAACCAACAGAATATCTCATTTTGATTACGAGAAATTGATACCGTACAAAGCAAGTTAGCGTCCCTGAAGTGGATATGTCTGGCTGTCGATTATATTTATTACAGGCTTTTATAATATTTCTAGAGTGCAACCCGACTTTTTATTGCTTTTAGATTGAGTTTAAGGAACATGAATATAGAAGCTAAATTTCGTTTCCTTAACAATGCAAGTTTTCTGTGTTCACAATTGATATTGTCAAAAGGATAAACTTTAAGTATAGCTCATATATGTCATTAAATATATTAGCGAAAATTAATTTACTTAGATAGATAGATAGATAGATAGATAGATAGATAGATAGATAGATAAAACGGTAAGTTTGTTTATTATTAAATATTTGGAAGGAGAGCCTCTATGGAACCCTACTGCGCTATCAGCTTCGGTGGGCTGGCCACGTCCACCGCATGAACGATTGTCGCCTCGCAAAGAGATTGCTCTATGGCCATCTATTCACCGGCAAGCGCTCACCCGGCAGACCAAAGAAACGTTACAAAGACAGGCAGAAGAATCTCTTAAGCACTGTAGAATTCCACATTCTAACGGGGAAGAGTCTGCTGAGGACCGTGCCGTATGGCGGCTATCCTTATGTAAGGTCCGGAGTGTCCGATTTTGAAGAAAAATAATCAGTGACAAAGAAGTGTCACCAGAAAAAGAAATATTAAGAGGGTTCGGCCTCCCGGCCTGTTTAACCCCAGCATCGTGTCACATCTGCAACAGATTTTTTTAAGGGCAAAGATATATATATATATATATATATATATATATATATATATATATATATATATATATATATATATATATATATATATTGCCAATCTCTATCTATAAAAGGCAGGATGTGTGTGTGTGTAACGAATGCACGGCCGCAATTTTCGACGGATTTGCACCAAAATTTACATGCACATGCTCCAAGTTAGCGGGAAGGCCAACGCCGACGTTGCATTTCCCAACTCCCATCGATAGCCAAAATAATCGATTTTTTCATGCTTCTACGCCAGTTTTCATGTAGTTTGCGGCCATTTTCTACTGGCCAGAGTTAGAGCCTATAGCTGGCTGCCACGAATAGGCAGGAAGATTCTATTGGCCAGCAGCTGACTGACACGGATGTTAACTAGCATGCAAAAGAAGTCGATAGCTGCATTCGTCACAAGTGGGAAACATTTAAATCTGCATGCCACTTTACTCCAATTGGCTCATTCGCTTGCTTAAATTCAACGTTGATTCTTATTCCGCAGAACTGGGTTGGGTGTGAAAAAGTATTTGTTATTAACATTCTTTTTTCATTCGGTTTTTTCAGTTACGAGTCATTTTTTAAAGCTGATCGTTTTGTGTTCATTTTGTTTAATTCTTTTTTCATAACAGATTTAATGTTTAGTATAGAGCTTAGAAAAAATTCGCAGTGTGAGATAGGCAAGAAGTAAGGCATGTAGCAACATCAGCACGGCAAAGGGCACTCCTTTAAAGGCAAGGAAGGGCAAAAATATTTTAAGTCAAGTGATAGCGATTGCTGTATGAGTCGTACGATTTTTGAATCAAGCACGGGCAACGCCGGGCTATGCTGCTAGTATATATATAAATGGTTAGAAATATAGTTTTAAAGTATGCTATATTTATGGGTAAAACTATCAAGGATAGGCGTGTATAAATATAAGAACAGATATTGAGGTCATGTCAACAACGAGAAGCGAAAGGATTTGATATACACATAAAAACAAACCTAGAGATGTTGGTTTCCTAGATGTCGCACTCACCCTAAGAGAAAGTACATATCAGGCACAGAGACAGCCAACCTAACGACAATCCATTTCACATGTACACATCTTCTAACCATCGTTCACCTATAAATCAAGCAGAACTCACAATCAGTTAACTGTAGATTATCTGATAATCCATTCTCCAATGAAGCCATACAAAATTATGAAGCAGGCGTAAAAGAAAGTGTTTTTCTTCAACAATCACATACACACAACACAATACAATAAAGTCCAACAGAAACATAATTATCATTTGATTTAACCCACAGTATAACAAAAACGTAAAATCGAACGTAAAAATAAAATTAATTAAACTCATCCGCAAACAAGTCACCTCATTGAGCACATGACATCCAACTGTAATTGTTACGGCAGGGTAAAGCATGAATATCCATGAAACAGCAATTGTCTGCAAAGCAATATGATATACCAAGCAACAATGCAGCAGACAACGAAGAAAATATACATAGGAGCAATTGAAGGAAACTGGAAACAGAGAAACTATGCACGCAAAACATCGTTTGTCAATAATAAATACATGAATAGCACAACCCTGTCTAAACATATTTAAGAACTTAACAACAAAATGCACCAAAAATATCAAAGAAACTAAAGAAAACATTACAAATTTATATCAATAAATCTAACAACAGTAAACTTTGTCGGGATGAGAAAATAGTTATAGTCACCTTCCGAGACCAACACAAAGTATAACTAACTTGAAACTCTTATATTTTCCTTAGATAAAGACGTGATAATCAGATACAAATATGTCAGATGAATAATAGGAGAAAATGAAGAACATAAGGGGAATCAATGCACGGAATCGAAACAAAGAAAAATGCAGGTTTTATTTATCGAATGCATTCATGCGGATTCCTGAATTTGAAGAAAATTCTCCCAGCACCGCGAGCAAAAGACAGAGAAACATGCCACGTGTTTGTGCAATAAATACGAGTGAAATTTAATAAAAGAAACTATTCGGAATCCCATCCCACGAAATTAAATGTCATCAAGACCGGGGGGGGGCTTGGCTTGAACACAATAATTTTGCTCAATGGGTTATTCACTTCACATTATGCACGCTCTCCTAGAAACTGCTACTAAGGTCCTCTCAGCGTAGTTGCAGCCTAAACCACAGTTGGCTCACTGGGTATTAAATATGCCCTAGCAGACGATTCCAACAGAGATTAGATACAAGCCGATAAACGAGTATACTCGTAAACGGGCATCCAGCCATTATTAAGATATATATATATATATATATATATATATATATATATATTTGTGCGTGTGTGGATGAGTGTGTGTGTTATGGAGGGTGCGTGTCTGTCTGTGTGTGTGGTGATGTACGTGCATGTTTATACGTAGTGTCTTTAAAATAAAAAATAAGCGTGTGAGATAGATAGATAGATAGATAGGGACGAAACGAATGAGCTTGCTGACTAGAAAGAAAGAAAGAAAGTTAACTCGAACCTAACTAGATAGATAGATAGATAGATAGATAGATAGATAGATAGATAAGCGAAAATGAATTGAAATATTTATAGATTAAAACTCAAGTTTAGATATTTATATATCCACAAATAAATAAATTTCACGATATCAGCATACAAATATCGATTTATTTATCTATTATTTGCATCAATTTACAGTCATATGACATATCTCTTGGTATATGAGAATATGAATCCATCATTTTCAGCATCAAGCATTATAAAAGTAAAGGTAAAAGAAGCAATAAAATAGATATGCTTGCGTTTATACACTTGTGCGTGTATTTAGAGATAAGTATGTTCATCTCTAAATCTATATAAATCTGTATATCATCTATCTATCAAGTTGTCAGCCGAAGCGATTGTGCCAATGTGTTTCTGACGCAAGATTCGCTCAAGAATTCGAGTTATAAGCAGGCATAAATAATCCGAACGCCAAACTCTGTAAGCATTTTCATTCTCTCTTGCCTTCCCTCTTGCCATCTGTCTCGTTCGGTGATCGCCGATCGAATGGATTAGCTTTTTGTGATCGCAGCTGGAAACTGCCTCGTGTCCCACCCGTTCTGTCTTTATCCGAAATAAATCGTGTCCAGCTTCCGATTTTAAACAGCTGTAACTAATGGCAAATTTTTTCTGCGTCTCATAAAAATGAGGCTCTATCTTTTGAGCCTATCTGATGGCAGGAAAGAATGGGAGGGGGGGCAAAAATCAATAACCGAAAAATCGATACAGCGAAGATGAAAAACGACGCTTATACGTGTTCCTGAAGAGAATGCATTAGAGAGAGAGATACATGTGAATAAACTTAGACACACAGTCACACGCACACACACGGATAGATAGATAGATAGATAGATAGATAGATATGAACAAAAAGATAGATAGATAGATAGACAGATAGATAGATAGATAGATAGATAGATATGAACAAAATGAGATACATACATACATACATAAAAACATAAATTTTATATATCTCTTTTTGACCTGGGTATGACGATAAACTTCATCCGATATTAAGGCAACTGATCGGGAAATTCGACGTTTTGGAGATCATGGAACCGACTTTTAACTGCTACTGTTCCCAGGTTCACCCTGACCCGGCGTGGTAGCACCTGTTAGGCTACCAGCTATGGGCAAATAGTTTACTCCCAAATAAAAATCAACAGTACATTTTTACAATAAAATGAGCAACAATACATTTTTATAGCAAAATGACAATCAATGCAACACTAAAAAAACATAAAAATACATTTTTATAGCAAAATTATCAACAATACATTCTCTGATCTACAAACTATATATCTTAAAAACATACTATTATTCTGAAACTATAAAATTACGTACAAAATATGTTGTTGAAAGAATAAAATGATTAACAACATATTTAGTTTGGTTTGTTTTACGGCATAACAACCCCAATGGGTTATTTAATGTCGACAAGAATTTTATTGCTAGTAATATTTTTTTTTTCAAAAATGTATTGATGTTAATACATTTTTTTCAAAAATGTATAGCTAGTTATATCTTTCTTCAAAAACTTTTTTGCTGGTAATAATATATTGCTGGTAATAATTTTTTTTTTAAAATTTGTTGTTGGTAATAATTTTTTACAAAGCATTTCTGGTATTAAAATCTATTTTTACACTTTCATAGTGTTTTGATTCCAGTTTAGGGATTAACTATTTGCCCATAGCTGGGACCCTATCAGGTGCTACCACCACGGGTCGGGATCAATTAAGAGCAATTAAGAGGTGGTTCCACCACGGGTCGGGATCAATTAAGAGGTGGTTCCATGCTTCTCAAAGCCTCCTGATCAGAAGCCTTGCTGTCTGACGTAGTTTACCGTCTTACCCAGGATGAGGGATGTAGTTAATCGTCTTACTCATGATGCGGATGTAGTTTATCGTCTTACCCAGGATGCGGATGTGGTTTAACGTCTTACCAAGGACGGGCGACATATTTAGATTTCGGTATTAAATAACCCATTGATATGCTTCTAAACAAAATCAACCAACTATTTACTTCTATATGAAATAGACTCAGGAGAAGAATTTCGAAAAACGAGTTCGAATCAGAGTTACATTTAATTACGCATAAATATACTTGAATCCATCTCCTCCCCACTTACCTATTTGGTAAATAGTAAGATTTTAACTCGAAAAAATAAAACATTGTTATTCTTGAAAAAGTATTAACGCAATATTCACTTGAGAAAGAGTTATTTTTCCAAGATCTGTTGATAAGCCGTAAAAAAATTAACTCATGCGCATTGACGCTATTAGCAAAGATGTACAAAATAATTCTGCATTTATGGATATTTGATATGTAACTATTTTCAGATCTACCTATCTATGTCAGTCTGGGTGACCGCTTAGGAATAATAGGTGTTATAAGCTTGGATGTGTGGGTGGTGTAATGGATAATGACTCGGAATTTTTAACCAGACGCCCGAGTTCTAATTCCTGATGGATCTCGTTATAGTCTCTTACGCTCAAATACCCTTGGGAAATGTATGAATCCATCTCTTCCCCCCACCCCAAGCTATGCGTTGATTAGTAAAACTTATATCACTAAATATTTATTATCTCGAAAGAAGAGCCCAAATTCTTGCAATGTAAAAATATTTTCTGGCTTTAAATAACCTACAAAGTGTTAATAGGCCGTAGCAAACGAATCGATCTATTCGTCAATCAATCATAATCACTCTGATAATATCTATGTAAAGATTTGTTCCAATCTCTTTCTATCACTCTATGTGCTTTTGTCTGATTACAAGCAAAGTGACCACTAAGAAAGTATTTTCCATTATTTAAAAATATTTTCGGTTTAAAAATATATTTAGTTTGAAAATAAGTATTCAGTTTTTTGCTTAGTTTAAAATATATTTATTTCTCTTGTGTGACATTAATTAAAAAAATGAATTTATTGATCATTTAAAGAAACTGGACACAAAAAGGACCCTTATAATTAACATCAGGAAGAGACAGTTGATATTTCTAGCACACTTAATGAGAAAAGAAAGCTTGGAAAATTTAATACTCACAGGACAGATTAAAGGCAAGAGGGAGAGAGAAAAACTACGCATACCTGGCGAGCTTAAATAAATGCATGGCGAAACAAGATTTAAGAGATATAACAAAAAGAAATTTATTAAAACCTACAAAGGACAGGAAATCTTGGAGAGCCATGATCGCCAAAGTCTTGAATGGATACGGCATACAGAAGTAGATCAGTTGAGCTCACTTTTCTTTCCATATTTCGTATCTGAAAAGGTCTAACGTAGAGAAAAGATTTAAAGTAGACTGCTATTATGACTTCTAAAATCGCTCCTGCAGATATAACGTCATCACGGCGATACTGGTTCTCAGCCAAGTGACAGTCAGAGAGGGCCAAATCAGGAGAATAGGTAGCCTGATCAACCGGCTGAAGGTCACAGGCACGCAGAGTAGCCGTTGAAACCAAGGATGTGTGTGATGACGCATTGTCCTGACAAGACAAGTCCCTTTTTGTCAGTTTTCCTGTGTATTTGGTCATGAGATTCCTTCTTAGCTGCCACATCAAGTGCTCTCCATTGATGGTGTGGCCCTTTAGAAGATAGTCAATAAAGACAATGCTTTGGTAGAAAGTGAAGATAATGAGGATTTGAATGAAAGATACCGATTGCCTCCTAGATTGAAATGTAAAGATTGAAGGGTCCAGTCAGTCCCAAAAAGTTGAAATTCTTATGAAAAAAGCTGTCTGACTGAAACTTCCCCAGTACATTGTCAACGGAGTTAATGAGTGTGTTCCCAATTCTTGGAAGTAGCATGTTGTGCCCAAAGTATAAATGTCTGAACTGATAGAACTAAAGTATGGCGATCATCATAACATTTGTCATGAAATTAACGATATATTTGTGACAGGCTTGCATGATTGCGTGTGTGGGGAAAGCGCTTCATGTTACAAAATACGTCTTCCTCCATAAGACTGTGTAAACGATTTTAAAACTCTATCAAGGTTGGGCAGTGAGTATTAGATAGCTCCAGGCCAGATATGACATCGATACACCATTTTTACCTAATCTGTCCCTTTTGAAGAAAGCATAGTCGAAGGTGACAGGTACTTCCTGGTGCGATAGAATGAGACGAACATCATTCCAAGATCGTTAGTAATTGATTTTATATATGTTTCTCTTGAGGTCTGGAATCAAGTTGAGACCCAATACTCGTTCAAAGCATAGATCTTCAATGGGCTTGGAATCGTGCATCGAGATTGGAAAACTGTTCATGTCTGAACGGAGATAATGGAACAATAGTAGAATTGTTTTTAGATATTGAAAATTACAAAGCACTGTTCTTTCCTCATTGAGTTGTTAGTGTTAGGTCAGAGAAAAGATTCGATACAAGGCTCCAATCATCTGGGTTTTTGAAAGTGTTTTCAGTAAACACTGGTATGCAAAAATTGAAATACTAGCCGCATTAAAAACATGTTTGTTAAAATTTTTTTTTTTCATTCAAATGAAAATTTACTTTCTATTTTCATTTTCTTTTAATGCCAAAATAGTAAAAACTTATGAACTGTGATCTGGAAAATGGCCAACAGAAAAAATATGAACTGTCCTCTCGTCTACATTGCTTAGGAGGCTTAACCTGCGCGTCTCTTTCAAATCGATTTATCATTGTCACTTGCGTTCAGAACAGTTGTCTGGGCGCTGGATGGGAAAAAAGAATGGAGAAAGTTTTTATCAAAAACTGGAATACTCGAGCAAAAACTCGCTCGACGGTGAAGGCATGCTTATTGTAGCGTATTGAAAAATGACTGCAACACGAGCCAATATCCCCAATGTTCTTCTGCAGTGAGTTGATCTAACAATCTGCTGCAGAGCTTTTATACCTATCTGTCTTTCAACATGCAAAGAGAAATTAGAAAATATACATTGACATCTATTTATACTAGTTGCATTAGGACTTCTGCAAATGTTAGGGTAAAATTTGTTGAATATGCTTTCTGTATATCCGAAGGATTTTTTTTTCTTTTTTTCTTGCAATCAGATTCCCTTGCATCAAATTAAATTACCGATATTGTAGGCATAAATTTCCTCATAGGAAATTCTTCAAGGAAAGTGTTTCTCGTTGTGTGATATCATTTTTTTACGGGTTATATGTTGTTATATAGTTATATGATTGTCGAGTAGTAGCTGTTGTTACTGTAAAAACGGAAGTATTTACTGTCAGAATTTGAATTATGATTATCATAATTTGAATTTTGTCCAACGGAAAAGAATATGATTTGCACTAATTACTTGTGAACTATGAGAAGCATTTATTAGATGTGTTATGAAAAAGAAAAAAAAATGAGATCTGAGAAGAAAAAGATGTCGTGCGAGAGAAAAAGATGTGGCGAGAAAGAAACAAGATGTGGTGAGATTAAAAATAGATGTGGTTTGTTGCAAAAAGGGTGTGGGAAGTGAAATGAAATGGATGTGGTCAGTGAAATAAAAATATATGGTCAAAGATGCGGCGAGAGAAAGAAAAATTGATGTGACGAGAGAAGGAAAAATCGTGATCAGTAAAGTAAAGTAAAAAGACGTCTCCGGAGAAAGAAATTCAGAGATAAAAAAAAAAACAATAGGTGTACTGATAGAAGAAAGTATAGGAAATTTAGCGATAAAAAAAAACATTTTTGGAAATTCTTGCAAAAATCAAGTAATTCGTGAATTTTAATCAAATTTTCAATATTTGTTAAGAAGTGAATGAAATTATTTACGAATTTGTTTTTTTTTTTAGAAAATCTTGGTAAAAATAATTTTTGAACTTTGTTACCCCTACTTACTTAATTTTATGAAATTTCAAAAAAATTAAAATTTCTAGAATTTAAAATACCCCCTTCTTCATATTTATATTAAAAGCAAGACTCCTCGAAGAATTTTATTATCAATTTATTTGTGTTAAACAGAAACAT